GCGGGAATCAACACGTTCTTGAGCGACTTTTCCAAGACAGAGGTCAGTATGGACGTTTATTTCTAACCATGTTCGAAAACCTCGATTCGATTTTTCGGAATTCATTTCAGATCCAACAATATTCTGCGTCAGTTGGAAACTTTTCAGATCTAAACTGTACCAACACGGACGGCTATTTCACCTGGACTTTCAAACTTACGGATGCTAATTGCTCTATTGTACTCATCAGACTTGTTCTCTACAGCTCTTTTTTGTGTCCAATAGACGACAGTAGTCAGCCCTTGCTCATTTACACAAAATAATGACCAATTTTTAAGGTGAATGCTTGGGTAAAGCAAATCGTGGCGAGCTCGTCGTTCTACAAAACTGGATATACTTCATGCGGAAGCGAAACATTCACAGCGTACGTTACACTAGTCACACGGTTAACCATTCACAGCGTACGTTACACTAGTCACACGGTTAACCTACGGTCCATCGGAATGTTCTCTCATGAACCGCATTAATCGAACAACCGTCAGTATAGAGGTTCTTTCTAGCATCTTTGGGAACTTTCAATTTTTCATGATTTATTTCAGACTCACCAATTTTTTGCGTCACGTGGAATTGGAGACTTTTCAGATCAGAAGTGTACCGATGTGAACGGCCATTTAGCCGAGACTTGCACACTTCTGAACGCCAATTGCACCAGGGTATTGAGTCGTGTCCCCTACAGCTTTTTTTGGGCTCAGTGGACCACACTAGTCATTTGTTGTTCGATTACACAAAACAATGACCATTCTTTAAGGTGAAGATGTATGTTAAGCGGAGACTGAGCGTCAATAACGACTTCATAAATGGAACATTTACATGCGTTCCTGCAGGGACATCAACATCGGCGAATGCGAACTTGATTGAAATAACAACAACACCACCACCACCAACAACAACAACAGCAACACCATTAGTGATAGTGCCAGGTGGTGCCCTTCCAGTCGCACCAGTCGTTATACCATATCAGTCGGATTATGAAGAAACAGCAGAGCATGTAGAAGAGTCTGCGTCTTTATTCGAGAGCATGTCTATCACGAGCCTTTGATAATATTTTGCTAATAAATAATTCAGCAGAAACTGTCTATTATCACTAGAAAGTCAATTGCGCTGTAGTGGTTTTAGTAAGCTCACTAGGGAAGAAAAATTCAAAATGAAATTAGTCGAAACGATTTTTCAACAAATCGATATTGGCTGTAAAATGTATAGCAGTTTTACTTCAACATTAGTGTTAGCATTCAAAGTCTTTTGGCGTCTATCATTCCTATCCGAGAAATGCGCCCTCGCATTCGACTTCCATTCAGAATCGAACGGCAGAAAGCATATGTGGTCTTTTCAACGAAATGCGGTTTCCAACCGATTTACAAGTCAGTGCTTTAATATTTCCGGACGAGTCTGGTACCAATTATCCGACTTCAGAGGGATAGAAGTCTTGGTTGGCCGAGGCGATTAATATCGGTTCGATATTCGAACCCGTGACCATGCATGTGTGAAGTGCGCCATTTGCCACTACACCACCTCCTCCCATATAAATATACGTTACGATGTGTACTTAAAGTTATGAGTAGAATTAACCGGCTTCATCGGCACGAACAACTTACACCGTTACTCGAGTAGATTTTAAATTTATTAGCAAATTAATATTATCAATGATTCGAAAAGGAAACAGATTTATAACGCCTATCGTAGGTTGAAATTTCTATAGAAATACGCCTATCACATCCCATGCCCTCGGAGACCAGATAATCGTAGATTATGTCACAGGTGAAGTAGATAAACTTGCAACCATGGGCGGAGCAAGCGCAAGAGGCGGAGCTTTAGCTGGGGGTTTTCAATGGGTAGGAAAAATTAATATTTCACTATAGTCAAGGGAAAAACAGTAACGAACAAAATGAGCAACAACTTTTGAGAAAAGGAATATAGGAAGGCATCTGGGTGGCTCGTGCATTATGGGATTATCCTATGAGCAGCAAGCCTAATGGGCATCTTAGGACTTTAAAAATTCAAGACCCTGTTCTAAACAGATAACGAGATTCTTGGGAGTTCTTTCGCAGCTAGCAACAGAAAAATGAAAAAAAATGCTCAAAAAATTGCCTAGACCTGGATGATCGTCTCAACAGAACTCTTAACTATAATACACTGAGGTATTAGGGAGGTTTTCAAAAAAACTGATCGAGATATTTCCTTCTACAGTGATTACTGTAGTTGACAAGAAACGCCCGCTGCCACGTGTTTTTCTTCTTCAGCACAAAGATTGGCGCAAAGCGCCCGATTCCAATGATCTCTCAGATCCCACCTGAGTTTTGGTCGGAAATCAAATGCAGGCAAGCCCAGAGTTTCGCTGAAAGGCGAACATCTTGCTCTCCTCGATGTATTTGTGGGTCCTTAGTGAACTAAAAAAGTAATTTCCCTCTAAATAGCTTTGTTTAGTCATACTCATAAAAGGAATTTGAGCCCGTTGTCATGGAATTGAATAGAATCGGCTTCATTCGAGCTGTTTTTC